TAAAGACAAGTTAGACATCATGCTGTCATAACTGATACCGTTTTTCGACGTGACGAGCTAGTACAGTAAAAGCGCGCTATAGTAATTGCACCTCTGTGAGTTTTAAGGACACTTCCATTAATTGCACCTCTCTATTGAGGACACTTCCATTAATTTCCCTTGAGCTGACCGTTATATAAAAGGTTTGAACTGTAGTATATTGATGAGGCCAAAGTTGTTTGACTAAAATGTCTTACTAAGTTAACCACAGAGCATGTTTGATTCTATCGACGCTTAAAGAATCCATGTGAGATCACATTTCACCAATCATGAAATCCGTAAAATTAAACATAATCATATTATGCGTGTACACGTCTTATAAAAGTCAACTCACGAATCCGACCTCAACACAGAAATCCCACGTTAAACCAAACGATGTTTTATGTCCAACACCGACCTGAGAATGTAGCATCCCCCCCCTCATGTTAAGAGCCCCCCTATATAAACCAAACTTCACAAAGCTGGACTTAATAAGACGACCCCGAGGTGGTCCGGCATTGGCGAGTCCTGCTGTATATATAAATATAAACAGGACAGCACGCTACAACAATAACATCACGGGCTTTAGGCTACATAAATAGCATGTACGATCGTGGGTAGACTAGAACATGCCAATCAACAGACATGTTCCTATAATCCATTAAACACCATTAACTACGGAAAAAAAGTAGCAACACGCGCGCATCAGCGTTACTAAGAATCAGACCAACATGTGAGGGCGCTTCTTCTCCGTATCTCACACTGTAATGAATGACTCCACAACATAAAAGACGGGGTGTCCTGTAAATTATAGCCGTTCCCTATTCTCAATCTTCACTCGTTCGCCATCTAGCTTCATTCTTCACCCGGTTCGAATGCACTCTCAGAAAACCGTTACGTAGAAAACTGCGTGACCCACTCTCCCACCACACCCCCATCAGCAGCAGCCATCAGCCAACAACAGCAGCAGCAGCAGCACCAACATCAGCAGGAACAATCTGAATAGTCCCGCTACAAACATACCCGCTCGCTAAACACAAAACGTAACACGAATCGCAAATAAACCACACAAGCGGAATCACACGAGCTTGCTTTCATCAGGCGGATGAAAAAATTACAATATTTCCTTATCATCCCCGGTGGCTTACATGTACGCCAACCCCGGGGACCAAACATAAATAGACATAAATAATATAATATCACGAGACCGCCAACTATATGGGCGACTGTGAGTCGGTATCTAGCCATTAGCAACCCTATATCGGGATCTTGCCCATCAACGCACGTCCACTTGTGCAGTTTACCAATGAACTAACCGGAGCTAGTGTGCAAACCGCAGCCAAAAACCTGTTAGCTCGTAAGCGTATGTGCGATAAGTATAAGTATAAGTCCTTTCATCTAAGTCTGTACACAGGCCCTGCTCAACTCTTTGACCTACAAACCAACATTATGTGTGACGACAGTTCCTGGCTAGGATTTGTCTTGGCTATACTATAATATAATGACACGGCCCACCAGATGAGACGGATACTGAGAACGTTGCCGAAAGGAGATGTTGATCCCAAGCGCTGCAAGCGCAGATTCTTGCGCGCAGTTTCCGCGGCAAGTGCTGATCTCTGGCGCAGCGACGCGGAACGTCCTACGACAGTATGCAGCTGCTGGCAGCTATGGTCCGTGCGCCGAAGTGCGTGGCCCGCGCTACGGATCCATAGCATCCACCGAGCAGTCGAGAATTAGAATCAATAGCTAATGCGTGCCCGTGCGCGCGGCCTGTGCTATCCCCTTTCCTGTCCGCTCCCTCTCTCTCTTGCTGGCTCTTGTCTCTCTCTTCTTTGTATCCCTCTCTATCCTCGGCCGCTATCTATTGCTGTCTCCTCGCTCTTCTTGTTCGTCTCTCTCCGATCTCGTGACTTCTGGGTAGCATGTTCTGTCCAGTGACCGACACCGTGACAAAGCACCACTCGCATTCATCGACAAAATGTTCATTGTCGTAACATCGAATTTGTCTCATCCCTTATCTCTTGTGTCTTACATGGCTAGGCAACCACTGCATCAACACATATTAAGGCAGCTCTGCAATGTCTGAAGGCAGAAATTGACATATAAGCTGTTAGCATCAGCCTACTCATTTTTGTCAAACAAGGTGCAGACGACAGCAGCCAGGCATACTTCCAAGAAGCCCTTTGCTTTTCCACGTGTACGTCGACACACATACAACTGTTACACAGAGTACATGCAACTCCTAGAACCATGCCTGTTTATCGCAAAGTGACGGCGGCTGAGCGATGGGCATATGGCCCTCATGAAGCGTAAAGTGGCATCACACGGACTGTGTGTATGCTGTTCTGCAACGAGGGAGCAAAACTACAAGCAGCAATGACGTATATGACTCTCTCCAACAGGCTGTTGTATTGTGGCCCCCTACTATGATTGGGTTATATACCCAAGACACAACATGCTCGCAAATACACAGCCATTGCTG